AAAAAAAATAAAACAGATACTGCCAAGCTCACTGCCGAGAATACTGAGCTTAAAGATAGAGTCACGAAATTGGAACGGAAGCAGACTCAGGTCATTATTAATGTACCAAAAGCATCTTCTACAAAAGATATTCCGCAACCTATCGACTCACGGAGTGAGGGCACTAACGTGCCTGAAGAAATGATTATTCCTGATGAAATAGAACATAGCCCAGCGAAATCTGAATCTTTAACGGAACTTGAAGAATCAGAGATTCAATGCTCTGCATCACCCTCTGCAACCTCTTTACCACAAGATGATATATCCAAACAAATGTCAGAAAACATATCTGATATATCTGATATCGCTTCAAATTCTGGCGTATGTCAGAAGTCGAAGACTTGTAAATCATTGGAAGATAAGGTGATCGATAAATTCCTGGATGAGGTGCATAAAGAAAAGGTAAGTAATGAAATAAAAGAAAGAAATCGAGAAAAAAAAGCTTCAAGAAGAGTCAAAGACTCGTTGTAAAACATCCTCAGCTATCCAAGACCTATCATATGGTAGTACAGAAACCATTCTCTCAAAAAACGATCAAGATGGAAATTTATGTAATATCAAAACCGTTCCCTTGGGGAACGATCGAGATGTAAATTTATCATGTGATACAAAGACTATTAGTTCAGAAATATCTAAATTAGAGCAAGATGTCGAGTGTGATAAAAATGAAATCGTAGAGCAGGGTTTGATAGAAGAATTATATTTATCTACTGATAAGCAATGCCTCATTGATTCTGCTATAGGTAATACCAACTCTACAGAAAATAAAGGTCCAGCTCAACATCTATCTTATTTATTTAAAACGGCAATCAAATCTCGACAACAGGAAATCTTAAACTGGTATTATTATTCCCTTGAATTTGAAAACAGGGTTCATGTTATTACAGCTGATGGTAAGATCAAAGACAAAACAGCAAGAACGATGATTTATAAAGAAATGAAACCGTTTCTTCCTAATATCACTCAAGATAACTTGCGTAAAAAAACTCTTAGAGCTAGAAAACTTCTTATGTTATTCGGAGAAAATGGTGTCGGAATAGATAAAATTAAGCTGATTACATATAGTGCGAATGAGATTTCAAAATTGACTAATGTACAAATTCAGAATATTATAGATCAAGTGAAATCGAAAACCGTTCCCCCGGGGAACGATCAAGTTTTATCAGAAACCAAGGTAAATATTATAACCACTTCCTCTAATTCGATAAGTGAAGAGATTGATCGAGATTCTGATCCATCAGAAGTCAAGATACAGGTAAGTGCACCCGATGACTCGCGGAGTGGGGATGCTATCGCATCTAAAGATTCCAACTATGAATACAATTTTGAAGATTCCTTCGATAACAACGAAGATGATTCACGGAGCGAGGATGCTAATGCGTCTAAAGATGATGATGGGTTCTGTGGATTTTCTGACGATGATGATGAAGGTTATTATTATGATTTAAATACCGGTGAGACTTATACAAAATCTGAATATCGTTATTCAATCCGCGCATACTAATAATAATTCCAGCACATGTTATTCGTGAAACCTAATTTTCAGATACATGTCTCAATTGGTAATTAGATATTTTTTTTGTCGATCACAAAATCTCAGATAATGGATTGAAAGATAGGATTTCTGCTTGTGATGAGCCCGGATCTAAGAAGCGATGCGTGCAAGAAAAAATTACCAAAAAATAACAGATTTACATGTATTTTATATTGTATTAATAAAGCAATCAGCCTAAATGGTCGTTCTTTTTTTTTCTGATATTAATTTTGTGTGTGGTGATAAGAGGTATTTTCCTCGATTCCGTATGAAAGAGTGGTTGACTACCTACATCGTGCATACTAACATCACTTTCGTTTTGAGATAAGGACATATTTAGCAAATTAGGGGTTAAATTATTGCCGGAGTTAGCTACTTTGTGGCTAGAAACGACATGGCTCTGATTCATTTCTGGAAAATTGGCGTGAGCTAGCCTCAGGCTAATATTTTGCGCTTCATCTGTGGCCTCATAAGGCGGTGGTTGAAGAGTTGATGTTTCAGGATTCATCGCATCAGGATTGTTTGTATTAGTGTTTATTGTATCACGGGATGGGGATGCTGATCGTCTACGACTTCTTCGACTATCAACCGAATTTCTTCGGCTTCTTCGATTCCCTGGCAATGTTTGACCTAATTCATGTTCAACCTCCTCGATAGATAGTGCTGGTGTTATATTTCCCAAATCTCTATTTCGCCTACGGTTTGTGGTATTAATAGTACGGATTCTATCAAATTCATCTTCAGGCCTCTTCCAAAAATGCGTACGAAACTCATCAAAATATTGCGCACCCGTTCGACTTCTTCGTGCTCTTCGATTCCCTGCCATATAATCGCACATCAACTAATTGACGTAAATTATTAGTCATAATAGCTAAGATGTAAGCAAAAAAATAATATACCATACATACATTGTAATCCCGAACAAGATTCATAAACTTTTCTTTACATTGGTGTCCATTAAAGCTCGTATTATGTTCTCTATTAATTCTGGTTGCGATGCTATCCCAAAATCCGATTCGATTCCTTCCAAAATTATGATATTCTTCATTTCTATTTCTACGCTCATACGTATTTGAGAATCGGTCCATTCAACCATTTTTATAATATTTATTCCGACAAGCCGAAAGGCGCCCTACGTGGCATAAATAGACTGCAAGAAGGTGGGATTTTGTTGCTTTTATAAGTGTATCTTATGTATTTTAACAGTACTTCGACAGTACTTTAACCATACTTTAACCATACATCCGTGATTATATTAAGATATATGTGCTTGGTACTAGCTCCGCTATTGTATAATTTATTGCTTTTCCAACCACACTTCAACATTGTTTCAACCATGTTTTAACGGTATAAATCTATGGATGTTCATTTACTTTTTTCACGTAAAAGTAGTATAATTAACTGAATACGTATGCCTCGGATTTGCATATCTCGGATTTGCATATCTCGGATTTGTCTATCTCGGACCGGGCGATCTCAAATGGTGAATGTCATACATCCATATGGTTGGAAAATTAAATCATATGCTTATAATATACCCGAAATAGACCCCACATACCCGAAATAGATTTCATACCCAAATGGATCTCATATACCCGAAATAGATTTTCATTCACGGAGGTGGGTAATATCTACACAGTTGATTTTATATAAATACCAATGTTTGAACTCGAGATACTTTACTGTTTCATACTTTCTTCTACTACATCACAAAAATATTACAAATACTTTGGATTTATCCTCTCCCAACACATATATACAAAATATACTATTTGGCATAAGCAAACACGAAAATATAGTTCAAAAACTCATTCTGTCAATATATATGAGTTACAGACTTGTTTCTAAAGAGTCTGATGATTTGGACTATACTCCGTTCTCTACTTCCTTTGATAATAGCTATCTAGAGAATCGCATCAGTAATATAACTGCGGAAACTTTTCATAGTTCTAAAGATATATGCCCCATATTTTTCGGTATGAAATCAAATCCAACGAAATCTATACTATGTAGCTTATATATCATAAAAAACGTTTGAAATACTGATGTGTATGTTCGAAGAACCATGATTCAGAGAATTGCCTATGGCCTGCTCTGCAATAGAAAATAACTTTAAGTTATATCTAAGAAATGTTCTAGCAATCTAATCCACACAAAAATGAATCTAGATATTTAGAGTATATAGTTATTAAATCTAATAGGTCTAAATCTCTAAATACGCTACAAATCACATAATCTCCAAAAACACTATATATAATACGTTAAATCACTTAATCGTTAAATATGGTCTATACAGATAAATGCCCAGTTTTGAGCAATACCGAATGGAGAGATAATTGTCAATTCCCAGTAATTCATAAGGGTGAAACTCCATCTGATTGGATGAAACGAATTTGGGATCAGTTGACGAATTATAAGAATAATAATCGTTTGACTGATGACAAAAAGCGATATCTTATCGCCAGGAAAATGGAATATTTATATGAAGGTGATCTTGGCCATTCTGTAGGTATAAATATAGCAATATGTTATTCGTGTAATAAGCTTGTTTATTCTAAAATAGGAAGTGGTTATGAGTATTGGTTTCCTCATTTCATGGATGAGCATTGGAGTACAAATTGTACTGGAAATGCTTATTGCGATATTAGTCATAAAGACTATATGGAACTTAAAAGTAAATCTGAAGCTAACTCGTATTTCGAAAAAGAAGCAATTCGTCGATATGAATTATGGGTGCAGAATGCTATCAAAAAGCTCGAATGTGCAAGAGAAGTTGGTAAAAAGATTCGAGCTGTAAAAGTTATACAACAAAAATGGCTAGAGATCTTCTACAAACCTGAAGGCATGTGTGCTACACAGTTAGTTGAGCATTACAAACTCTTATGGGCTGTTCGAGAAGAAATGCGACAAATTAACAATGCACAACTTATCTAATACCTATACACATCTATTTATTCGATTTATTAATTATGTAACTTATCATATATATAACTATTTAAAATAAAACCACCTAAGGTATTCCTTGAGGGCTAGTACTTTAGACTTTTATTCACTGCTATTTCGTGATGATTAATAGCGATTTTTTTGTTTGTTATCATTATATTAATGATTATATAATAATCGAGTGTGGTCAATATGTGATTAACGGTTGAATTATTAACCAATTTACTTTTTTTTCTGAATTCTATAGAATTCGACAGAATTTTTAACTCGGTGTATATAAATGAGATTCAATCAAGCATATACAGATCTGGTACAGCAACTACCTCCCTCACTAGTGGAAGAAGCATGGAGACGCTTAACTATGAGAAAGCGCAATCCACTGACAGAATTAGAAGCATGTGGTATAGATCCAAGTATTGAAGATTTTTTGCAACATGAAATTATAGTTTATAATAAGAAAAAAGAACGTCAACGTCGAAGTCCTTCACCACTTGAAAATTTATCACACATATATAATAGCGAAGCTAGTGTCAAGACACATATTAATATAGACATGGTTAACCAAGAAATACAAACTTCAGATACTAATACCTGTACATGTGATCAGGCACATAAGTACCCTTGCTTTGCAAGTGAGGATGAGATCAATCGTCGGGTTAAGAAAGAGGTCGATGTTTTATGTCAGCAATTACTGGAATATAATGAAAAAACTTTTGGCAAATTTATGCGAAAAATTACTATGGAGCATGAGGATAGGGTCAAAGCCAATAAAAAATTACGATGTGAGGTTGAGGAAAAAAAGATAGAATTACAAGAGGCAGAAAAATGTCTCGCATATCTGAAGTCACGCTCTATTCATTAGAAAGATTTAAGGATGTATCCCAACCCAATCTAATAGCAAGTGGGTCATCTACTGCCTTGGTAAAATCAAAAACCACGAAATCTCGATCCCGCAAATGCTTGTCAATAATCTTGGATGCTTTTTTTGGATTGTCTGTATACTGGCGTACGATTCTATGGATGTCGTCTCGGCTTCCTGCCCCCCGAAAAAGAGCCAAATGTGAGATGTTTTCGCGGATAATTTTAGGAGTTTGTGTATACTTCTGGCTTACATATATGGGTGAGATATTTTGATGCCGGCCACTAATGAAGTAAGGAATAATTCGTTCTTGCACTTTTTTCGGTTCGGCGCATAGATCCTCAAATACAACAACTGTACTTCGCTCTGGAGAGAATTTAGTTATATCTGGAATTTTATCTGGAGATATTCTTTTAAATGTGACATCTTCTCGATATGGTTTAGGGGCATTCGCAAAGATCTGAAAGCTATT